AAAGAGTCACAAGTTTGATTCTGGTCAAGGCCATGTACCTTGGCTGCAGTTCAGTCCCCAGCCCTGCTCGAGGTCGTGTGGGAGGCACGACCAGTAAATGTCTCTCTCACATCGATATTTCTCTCTCTCTCTCCTCCCCTTCTCTCCCTCCTACTCTATCTGAAGATAAATAGAAAAATGTATCCCTGAGCGAGGATTTATAAAAAACAAAAGAGAGAACTATGGTTTCAGCGTCCTGGCAAAGAGAAACAATTAGAATCTACAGAATACAAGTGTTCCCACAGTCTAGGAGTTTTATGGCAAATCCATCTTGCAAGGCAAGAGAAGTGATGGGGAGAATGGCAGTGACATATGCTCCCACAGCACATCCACGTACTCATTCATTGTGGGGATGGGGGTACACTTCCATTTTACAGATGAGGAAACACAGAGCTACTCTAAGCTGGGAACTGGACAGTGGTCTCCTTATTTTGAGTACCACAGTTTTTCCACCAAAAATACTTTGCAATACCAGAAATGCTCCTGTATCAGCTCCAGTTGGAACTGGCTGAATTCCAGCTCACCTGTCCATCCTCCCATCCTCCCTCTGACTCTACGATGGCAAAGCCCTCTCAGCCTCCAAATGTGGCACCACTTTCTAGAACCTTTGCAACACCACCTGCCACAGCACATCTTCCCGATCCCTCCACCAGGGAGAATACCTTCTTTCTTAGAATAGGGCTGCCAGCATCTCCCTCTCTCCATGCCCCATCCCCTTCATCAGAGGGCCTTGCTCTGATGAGCCATGAGGCTGCCCACCCTGTCTAGCACAGGCCCTGATTAGATAATGCACATGAAAGTGCTCCATATACCATTTGTTAAAAGTCCTTTTCAACATCTTGACTTCTCAACTTCTATAATGTAAATGCTACCTCTGTATTCTTATAGCATCTAGCTACAGCTTGGTGCAAAATACATTCTGACACAAACACTAAGTAGCTACCATGGAATAATGCTAGTTGACCATTATAAACATCACCTCATTTAATATTTACAAGAGCCCGGTGAGATTGGGGTTATTGCCTCCATTTAGCAGAGGAAGAAACTGATGCCGAATTAGGTTAACGATCTACTCAGTACTAGACTTCGAGCTTGATAAACATGGGGTCTTCAACTATTTTATTCATGGCTATCTGGGACTTAATAAGGACTCAGTAAATATCTGCTGAGTCTTTTAAAATATAAAATTAATGCCCTAACAGTGGTAAAGCAGGTTCTTCAATAATGTTGTTTCATTCAATATAGTTTTTATTGTTTTTTAAGAAGAACAGTTTATTAATTTGTAGAGAGAGAGGGCGAGGGAAAGAGAAACATCAATGTGAGAGCAGAACATTGATCAGCTGCCTTCTGCACGGCCCCTACTGGGGATCAAGTTCACAACCTGGGCATGTACCCTGACCAGAAATCGTACCAGCAACCTCTTGGTGCATGGGACAATATCCAACCATCTAAGTCACACATGCCAGGACTCATTCAATGTAGTTTTAACATTAATGAGATGCCCTAGGAACTTAACTCTTGTTTACATCAATTCGACTGTGGTAAAATTGGCTTTGTTATCCTATCAACAATATTAAATGAAGACTTACTGTAAAAAAATTTATTTCTTGCCCTGGCCGGTTTGGCTCAGCGGTTAGAGCATTGGCCTGCGGTCCGGAGAGACCCGGGTTCGGTTCCCGCTAAGGGCACGTACTTCGGTTGCAGTTTGTCCCCGGCCCTGGTTGGTCGTGCGGGTGGCAGCCACTCGATGTGTCCCTTTCACGTCGATGTTTCTCTCTCTCTCTCTTCCTCTCTCTCCCTCCCACTCTATCTGTACAAAAAAAAAAAAAATTTATTTCTTGAATATCTGCTTTAAAGTCTGAGAACTGTAACTTTTCTGGGAGAGAAAACTGTTACCAAAACTGGAATAGGGAATTAGGACTTGACAGAAACCTGAATGCTCACCCAGCCCAATCCTGGGAGTTCTGACCTGAGCATGGTCCCATACTTTGCACTCAGGACCTGTTCCTTGTGGAGCCTGGGGATTTCCTCAAGGGACTGTCCCTGGGGCTCTCCCAGCACAGAACCTGGCCTTGTAGATCCCACTCAGACCTGCCTGAAAGAACATGACCTGGTTGCAGGAATGATACGGAACTCAATCTTGAGGAGACAGTGGTAGACCATCATTTTTTCATACCTAAAACCATCTATACTCTTACTTCCTTAATATTTTTCTTTAAAGTAAGTAACCTTTTTTTTTTAAAAAATTTTTTTCTTTATTGACTTTAAAGAGAGAGGAAGGGAGAGGGTGAGAGAGATAGAAACATCAATGAAAGAGAATATTGATTGACTACCTCCTGCATGCTCCCCACTGGGGGTTTGGCCCACAACGTGGGCATGTGCCCTGGCAGGGAATCAAACCGGTGGCCTCTTGGTACATGGGTCTACGCTCAACCACTGAGCCATACTGGCAGGGCTAAACTAAGTTACTTTTTTTGTTTTTGTTTTTATCTTCACCCAAGGACATTTATGCATTTATTTTCAGATAGAATGGAAGAGAAAGAAGGAGGAAGAGAGAGAGAGAGAAACATCGATGTGAGAGAGACGCATCGACTGGCTACCACCCACACAACCCCAACCAGGGCCAGGGACAAATTGCAACTGAGGTATGTGCCCTTAGTGGGAATCAAACCTGGGCCGATGCTCTAATCACTGAGCCAAACTGGCCAGGCTAAGTTACCTTTTTTAATTAAACTTTTTAAAAAGGAAGCTTTATAGAACAATTGTAAAAATAATCAATAAAATAAAAAGATAACAGTGTTAGTAAAGTCAGGCTGGATACTGCCTGTGATATTGTGACATAATAAAAAATACATATTTGGTCTTTACCCTGTTTCTTGCACAGAGCTCCTAAAACCCTTAGACTTTCCTAAGTGATAAGAGCAATAGAAGTATTTTCTGTTATTTGTAACACGCCCCTTTCAATCACACCTGAGTTTATGTTAATAAAGTGACTTTTGGAAAGCCCCTAAGGATGGGGCTAGTAGCCAAGGAAACCAAGCCTGTGATGAACTTTCAGCCCCATCCCTGACCTCCAGGGAGGGGAGAGGAACTGGAGGTTGAATTAATCTCCAATGCCCATTGATTTAATCGATCATGCCTATGTAATGGGGCCTCCATAAAAAACCAAAAGGATGGGGTTTAGAGAGCCTCCGGGTTGCTGAACAGGTGAAGGTGCTACAGAGTGGAGCACCTGGAGAGGGCATGGAAGCACCATGACCTTTCCCCATCCCTTGACCTACTCACCTTTTCTATCTGCTGTTCCTGAGTTATATCCTTTTATAATAAACTGGTAACCCAGTAAGTAAAGTGGTTTCCTGAGTTCTGCGAACCACTCTAGCAGATTAATTAAACCTGAGGAGGAAGTATGGGAACCTCTGGTTCAAAGCTGGTTGGTCAGAAACACAGGTGACAAACTGGACTTGAAATTGGTGTCCGAAGGGGGCAGGGAATCATAATGGACTGAGGCCTTAACCTGGGGATCTGATGCTAACTCCAGGTAATTGGTGTGAAGAGAGTTTGAGAATTGCTTGGTGTGGGGAAAACTCACCCACACTTGATCACAGAAGTGTTCATTGTGAGTATTGAGAGTTGAGGAAAAAAATAGTTTTCTTCTTATATTGTCACTCTCTAAAGCTCTAAGCTAGAGATACCTCTCTTCACTTACAAAAATAAATTAGAAAGTATTAGGTATAAGGACATATTAGCACCAAACTGCAACTTTCTCCTTGTCAGTAATGAAAAGAATGGAAAGAAAATAGTAAAAGGAGTAATTGCCTTCCTATAGGGTCCTGTGCCAACAGCAACTCTATGACCCCACCAAAATGGAAATGTAATAGGCAGCTAGACAGATGTGAGCAGAGTAAGGATGGGCCAGCTGCAGAAGGTCACAGGTCCCTATCAAGGGGGAAAACTGGGAAAACAAGGACCTCACCCCCTGAGTAACTTTTCCTCCCTAGCCTATCGCTGGTCACACAGTCAGTATGGACCCCTGACCTTTCATATCAGCTAGTCATGTGGTTCAGACCCCCTGACTGTTCCTCTCAAAAAGTAACATCTAGGACTCAGTTGTATTTCAACTCCAGGCCCAGAAAAAAAGCAGAACTAGACAAGTGACACCATGGCTGCTTCAGGACCAGCTGCACTGACCAGTTACCCCCTACCCTGGCTCTACCCAATCAGCCCATGACCCTGAAAGAGCACAGCTGAAAAGCTGATGAATATTCTATTGAGACCCTTCCCTGAGACCTTCTCTAAGAGTCCCACCTGCAAGAGAGATAAAGGATGCAAAGGACCCAGGCTACCCCCCTGAACTTGTCTGTAAGGCCCCTTTTCTCTGACTTCCCAGTGAGCTAAAGCAGCCCAGCCTAGGCACTTCTGTTGCTTCTTCTATACCCTTCCTTGTTTCACTGTCCCAAGTGTGTTTTTGCTGCGGCCAACACATTCTTGCTCGCTTTGCTGCATTTTGGTTCTTGAGTGCAATCGTTCCTTCAAGAAGACAAGAACTGAGGTCTCACCATCTTGCTGGTAACAGAAAGATCACAGGCTGGGGAGGTGCCAGTTCTAGCTCTTCCTTGTGCAGATGACCCCGGGCAGCATCTACAATATCCCTGAACCTCAGGTTATCTATCAGTAAAATGGTACCTTCCACTCTGAATGGTCCCTGTGAACTTCAAATAAGATAGCCATAAAAGGACCTTGGAAACACTAAAGTGTTGTGTAAACATAAGAAGATTTGAAGCATAGTCTACCAATAAGGCAAAAGCCAAGACTCATCCCAAAATGCTACAGGGAACCTTGTATCTCTCTTGGCTGGCTCACTCCTAGCTGAGGCCCAAGTACAGAATTGCTGCTTGGATTGACAGAAATATCCAAGAGCTCTACAGTGCTGAGAAAGAAAGATCCTGAGCAGTGTCACTTACGTTGGTTGAATTTTGGTGAACTCGGGGATTTCATCTTTTTTCTTTCTGAAGAAGAACCAGTAGGTCAGGAGACCTACAATAAGTGAAAACAGAATCATGTCCGTTGTGCTGAAAAGAGACACTTCCTCAGCCACAGTCTCAGACCCGGTGGTGCTGGTATCTATGTTGGAGTCCCCCATGTTGATGATGAAACTGTGGGGAGAGAGAAATAAGACTTCAGCAGGGAGGAAGGAGCAGGGTCCACCTGAAGCCTGCCGGGGAGACCCTTGAAAGCTTCAGCCTGGGCCTCATGCCCACCAAGGGCTGCAGCAACAGCCAAGCTCCAGGGTAGGAACTGCCAGCTCCTGGGAAATAACCTGAGCCCTATGAATATGTTGCCTGGGAAGTGTGTCTCCGTACACACAGATAATTTATGCCGGCAATGTCATTTAGGATGAACACCTGGGACTCTGAATCACATCGTATCAGTTTGACCTCTGGGCTGCTGGAGATTAAGGAAGCTTAGAGACACTGGTGTTCCATGCCTACAAGATTGACTCCAATAAACAACAACAAACCACCCTGGACACCAAAGCACGAGTGAGCTTCCCTGGCTGGTGATACTTCATGTGCACTGCCACACATGGTTTCTGGGAAAATTAGGTGCTGTCTGTGTTACTTCCGAGAGAGGACAACTGGAAGCTACAAAGACAGATTTCCTGGTTTCTCCTGGACTCCACCTTATGAAGCTTTTTCCTTCACTGATTTTAGTCTGTATCTTTCTGCCATAATAAACCATAATTGGGAGTAAAACAGCTTTTCTGAGTTCTATGAGCCCTGGTGAATCACTGAACCAGAGGGTGGTCTTGGGGACCACCCACTCCCCTCAACACACCAGCCTGGTTAGTTCCCTTGAAAGATGCTCAACTGGTCCTTCCACCATTGAAACCTGACATGCAGGTAGTTGTGATATGGGTCAACAAAGCCCAAGGTAAGAGTACCTGAAACCTCAGCAGTCTACTTCTGTCCCCTACGAGGGTAGGCTCAGCTCTGGAATGTCATCATTCCATTTTGCAATCTCTGTTTTTACCAACTGGGTTGCTTTCGACACAACCACAGCTCCCAGACTCAGTTAGAAACACCTATTGTATCTCAGCAACTCAAGCAATACGATATTGCTTCATATCTCACTTCCTTTTGCTGTCACTGCCTCCAGAAAACCACAGGGCTGGCCCTGAGCAACTAGAGCACCCTAGGATCTGAGGGCTCCTGGCATCAGCCCTTCCCTTCTGCAACGTGTTGCGAATGGGCCAATCTCATTAATCTGAGGTGCTTTCTAATGTCTGAGTTCCTGAGATAAACTCATCCCCTTTGATACCTTACGTTAAAGGACAAACTCAACTCTAGTGCCCACAGAGAATACTGTTTATATTAAGTATTAACTTATAAACACATTTAATATTTATTCAGTGTTAGTCATCTTTCTATCCAACCTTGTCATTGTCACCTGTCATGCCCACAAGCCTTATGTCAAGCTCTCACAAAACCATGGAGAGAGAGGGGACCTGCTGGGATGGATTCTGGAAGGACCACAAAATGAGGCAGCAGACACTCAGAGCTCTGCTTGAACCAGCTGGGGGTTCTGGTCAGGAGGGATGTGCTCACATGGGAAAGCCCCCAGCTGGCATCCCTCACAACGCAGCAGTCAATGGACTTCCACTTCCAGTCCTGCTGCCCTTCCAACTCAGGTCACCCAGTCCCCTTTCTTTTCGGAGGGGGAACTAATGCCCACAAAGCTAAAAGACTGTTGACAGATATGCAAGTTGACTGCACAACTCAGAAGAGAAAGCTCATTCCTGGCAGCTGGTTTCTAAGTGGCCATGCGCTCGAGGGCCAGGGAGACTGCATGTCAGCACTCACACAATCCCATTCTTTTAATAATGTTTGGGTTCAAGCCACCCAAACCACTCCAAGAAACTCCTAACAAGCTCTTCTTTGCACAGTAGCCAGATCCTTTGAAAAAGTAAGTCAGATTTTGTCACTTCCCTAATCAAAACTCTTAAATGGCTTCATACTTAGTACAAAACCTAAAGTTTTTACCTGACCAATAAGTCTTATGTGATCTGGCCCCTATATACCACTCCCACCACATTTCTTACTACTCTGCCCTTTCCTCACACTTCACCAGTCACACTGGCCTCCTGGCTACACTCCAAGCCTCTAAGTCTCCTTGTGCTCCAGGACACAAGATGTTAACATGTTGCCCAGGGTTCTCTCCCTCACTTCATTCAGGTCTCTGCTCAGCTATCACTACCTCAGAGAGACTTTGCCTCAATATCATATCTGGTCACTCTCCCTCCCCTTGCTCCTAACAGGGCTGATCACTACCTGACATTCTACATTTTTTCCTACTGGCCATCTCCCTGACTATAGGGTTAGTCAACGAGGGCAGGGACTTCACTTTGTTCACAGCCTGGCAGACAATGAGCACCTGGAATCAACTTGTAAATAAATAAATGTATGATTCTAGAGTAGCTGGGTTGATAAAGCATGGCATACAGATTATGGAGTAGTAGTATAATTTGAAAAAGCACAATATAGATACATCATTAGAACACGGTTTGTGAGGCTATGTCCACTCTTCACTCTTGCTCTATCTCTAATACCTGCACTTACTGCTTCTTGCAACATCTCAGGTCTCTCAGTTTTAGTTCAGAGTCAGGACACCACAAATTCCTTTCCCACTGTGGAAACAACCAGGCACTCCCCCTGGAAAGGTAACTGACTCCCCGCAGCAGGTAGGGGTGGGACTCAGGCCCTGAAGCTCCCACCAGCACACTGTACACTGTCAGCACTTAGACATGGGGTCTCAACAAAACTGAGAATGTCCTTAACAGCTGACTTCAGACAGACAAGAGCTATAGAGAAGCACTGGAAAAGACCTGGTGATTGTTTATCTGAGGCTGATCTACAATGCGAAATTAGATGATCCAAACAGGTAAACAGCTTGTCAAGTGGCAAAACTAGAAAAGGGGTCCCAGCTTCCCAGGGGAGGGCTGTATTCTGTCTGAGCAGGAAGACCTATTGAACACATGTCTCTCCCCTGCTCTGCTGTGAGCTCCTGAGGGACGAATAGGCTCTTGGGCACGTCTGAATCTGGCACATGGTGGGAAGGAAGGGCTAGCAGGCTGGCAAGAAGGAAGTCAAGCTGGGAAGAAAAACCTTGACCCCACACTAGGACACAAAGCGACGAAGCTGTGAACAAGTTGTTATACCATTATTATGATCTCACTTAAACCATTATTTTCACACTGAAGCATACAAAAACACCCACCCCTCTCCAGCCTGCATCTCTGTATCCCCACCCCAGAGCCTTTATATGTGCCTGAAATGCTCTTCCTGTAGTTGTTTCCTACTCGTCTTCATATCTCAGCTTAAATGTCAATTCCATGGGTCATACCTTGCTGGCAAATTGCTTGGTATATAATCCAGTGCTCAGTAACTACCCACAGAATGAGTGAAGGCAGTCGATGAATACATTATGACATGGAACGTAATCAATAACCTGAAGCTTGTGAATTTAAATGAAATTTGGGCTGGTAGTATGCCCACTTGGCAATGGGACAGAGGCTCCCAAACTCTCAGTTCATGGAGTCCCTTGTATGTCAGTAAAGTTTTCATAGTATTCTAGTCCCAAAGCAATACTTAATAGTTCCATATGGGAAGTAGTTAGGTCTAAACAACCACTAAAAATCCAACTTTGCAAAGACACAAAATCATCAAAAGAAATGTAGAAAAATCTAACATTGAAACTGAACTACCCCAAGATAATACTAATGTGGATAGATACGGACTTTCACTGATATGTACTTCCACTGCATTGGAAAATTAGGCACCTCTGGAAGTTTACTGTGATGCTTCGGCAATCTGGGAACATAGATCCTATGACATAAAGTCACTCTCCTCTGGCCAGGCTGGTGTGGCTCAGTGGATTGAGCATCATCCCATGGACTGAGAGGTCCTGGTTCAATTTCCGTTCAGGGCACAAGCTTGGGCTGTGGGCTCGATCCCCAGTGAGGGGCATGCAGAAGGCAGCTAATCGGTTTCTCACTCACATCTATGTTTCTCTCTGTCTCTCCCTTCTTCTCTCAAAAAAATCAATAAAAACATTTTTTAAAAAAGTCACTCTCCTCTGCTGTGTGACATAGTTTGATGGGATAAGTTTGGACATCCTTCTTAACAAGTGCCCTCCATTTCCAGTGTGGCAGGGTGACCACAAGACTGTCTGAAGTTCCTGCAGGCACTCCAAGGAGACTTTGGGAACCCTGTGTGACCTTGCTGACCTGTGAGTCATTTCTTCTTTCCACGTGCAGAGCTCATGGGGTCAAATGCAACATGTGTAAGCAAAATTAAAAAAAAAAAATGGACGTGAGAAAATAGAGTAACTTCTTTTTTTTTTTATCCTCACCCGAGGACATTTTTTCATTTTTTGTTCAGATAGAGCGGGAGGGAAAGAGAGGAAGAGAACGAGAGAAAGAAAGGGAGAGAATGAGAGTGACAGAGAGAGAGAGAGAGAGAGAGAGAGGGAAACATCAACATGAAAGGTACACATCAAGTGGCTGCCACCCACATGACCCAACCAGGGCCGGGGACAAACTGCAACCGAGGTACATTGCCTTAGCGGGAACTGAACCTGGGTCTCTCTGGACTGCAGGCCGATGCTCTAACTGCTGAGCCAAACCAGCCAGGGCTAGAGTAACTTCTTAACTAGACAAGAATCTTGCCACAGCCCTGCCACCAGCTGGCTAAGCCTCTGGGTAAATCCCTTAAGGGCAGTAGGCTTTGATGTCCCCATCTGTAAAATTAGGCACAGAAAAGGAGATATATCAAAAGACCACTCCAAATAGAGCAGATCTGACTTGATCTTTTGTTACAAATTAGGTCTATACATAAATTTTTAATTTGATTATAAAAGACAGAAAAGGGAAGGCATAGATAGAAAGATGCGATTCCTCCTAAATTTCAATAGCTAGCCAGTTCTCACTAATGGTGTGGGCCAAGGTTAGCAACTCTAGGCCCAGCATCAGTCAGCAGGCAGCCCACCGCACTACAGAGAAGGTGGACAAACCACTGGCCTCTCAGGCCCGAGGCACTGACAGGACCTTCACCAGCTTCTGAAAGAATAAACAAGGTAAGAACAGAAGGGCCTTTTC